CCCCAGCACCCACATCCACACGGATTTGAACAATTCCAGGGACTGTGGCTCCACCACTGCCTTGTGCCAGGGCTGGACAACCCTTTGCATGACAGAATTTTCCCGAATATCCAACCTAAAACTCCCCAGCCCCGTACCTTGGTGGGCCGCAGGAAGCAGATGGCCTTGAGGTGCTTCATGGGCTCCCTGTTGGGCGAGTCGAGGCGCTCGAAGAGATAAACCTCGCGCTGCAGGATCTCGGACTGGGTGTACACCACGCTCACGGCGCCGGTCTGAGGGCGACAGTGCCCGTCACGGCCGCCCTGGCCCCGGTCCCCGGCCCCGCCGCCCTCCCCGTCCCGGCCCAGCCGCTCACCGTCTCCCGGTCCATCAGCAGCACCTTCATGCCGGGGCCGCTGTCCTCGATCATCTTGGACACGTACTGCCGGACCGCCAGCACCGCGTTCATCCTGCCGGGGATGCTCCGCTACCGGGCTGCCCCTGACCCGCTTCGGCCCGGCTTCGGTCCGGTTCCGGCCCCGCTTCGGCCCGGCTTCGGTTCGCTTCGGCCCGGCTTCGGTCCGGCTTCGGTTCCCTTCGGTTCGCTTCGGCCCGGCTTCGGTTCCCTTCGGCCCGGCTTCGGTTCGCTTCGGCCCCGCTTCGGCCGCGCCCCGTCCGGCCGCGCTGCCTGCTGGGAGTTGTAGTCCGGCAGCGGGACCGGTCCTGCAGCCCCGGCCCGTCCTTCCCCTCCCGCGGGGACCCGAGCAGTGGGAATGTCTCGGGAGGGCGGAACAGTTTGGCACTGAGCCCAACCGGACTCGCCCCGCAGTTAAACCCACCCAAACCTACCGTAAAACAACACGAACCCGCTCCAACCCGCACTAAATGCACCCTAAAACGAACCTAAACCCATCCTAAACACACGCAAACTCCCCCCAGGTCTACCCAAATCACCCCAAACATCCCCAAATCGTCGCAGACCCACCCCAAGCTCCCACAGCCGAGGGAGCTCGGCACACCCGAGGGTCCCCCTGGGGTCCCCAAGGACAAAGGACGGGACTCGGTTTCACTGAGCTGCTCCTGGGATGGACAAGGCTGCTGCTCCAGGACCATTCCTGCCCCACTAATCCCGGGAGCAGGACGCTGGGATTAGGTGCTATTCCCGGCAGGACAGAGCTGACCCACGGCCAGGCACTCCCCTGCTGCCAAAGCCCTATTTATAGCGGGGGATAACAATTAATTAATGAGCATGTCCTGCCTTTCACTTCCAATTAAGCGGCTCCCCACTTCCTCTCAGAGTGAGGGACACCTTTGTCGTCTTTAATCCTTCCATTTCCTGCCAAGATTTTGCTTTTCACTTCCAAACGCTTTGGGTCTTCTTTCTGGAGGCTGGGGAGTTTTGCACATGTACAAACCCCAAAGATTTCAGTGGTTTAAACAGGGATTTACCTAGAAAAATACAACTCCAGTAGTTTCTTTCTTACATTTTTTGTTATTTCTTGATTGATTTTGTTTCTCATATCCAAACTGATGCCTTAAGGAGCGTGTGGGTGCTCCTGGCCAAAGGATACACACAGTAACGGCAAATGGTATAAAAAATTGGGATTTAATTGCAGCTGATTGATTTCTGGCCTTATTGTTAAATGATTCAGTGTCTGGAAGGTGCTGGTTTAGTTATTGTCCATGTTCCTTGGAAATGCTTTTGGATTTTATTTGTGAACTAACCAAACCCAGGGCGTCATCTCCTCTTTAAATCCGTCTTTGTCCTTGTCCTTAGGGAAAACAAACACCTTCTTGTGCCATTTTAATGAAATGAATCACAAACCAGATCTCTGAAGCTTCTTGGTAGGACGTTTACCCCTGGTTTGCAGGTAAAACATTTTAAGCAACTTTTATTCTGCAGAAATTTTACACTTTTCATTCCCCACAGGTCGATTGGTGGGGTGGGAGAACAGTTCTGTGTCCCGGGAGTGGTTGGAATAATGGAATTATTTAGGCTGAGAAAGAGCTCTGCATTTGCTGTAATTTTTAATGTAAACCTTCCTTAAGCATTTATTCAAGTATAATTTCTGTAAATAACCCTGATTTAACTCACCAAACAATTTCCCTGGGCCTGTCACCACTGCCCAGGCACGAGGACAGACAAATTGAGGCAATAGGATTGTCCTGGATTACGGCACTGCTATTTTAAGGGATTGAATTCGGCGTCGATTCTTTCAAAAGCAATGGATTCTCCACTCCTGATTCCAAGGGGGAATGGCCACGGCAGCCTGTGCCACCCCTGCGTGGGGCACTTTCCCTGTCCCTGCACGTGGCTCTGGAGGGACCAGCAGCACCCATCTCGGGGTCTGGGTGTCAGGACGAGCCCAAGAGTGTAAAATCCTCATTTCCCAGCCTGTGCAGCCAAAGAAGAAGTTTGAATGTGTAGGATCAACTTCTCCAGGTTGTTTATTTTCCCTTATCCAGAACATTCTTTCTCTGATCTGCTGAGCACTGTCCAGCAGCTCGGCCATGGCATTCTGTCCCAAATCTTGGGCGGTGTTTACATTTTATACCCAAAAGTCCATGTATTATATTTACAATAATGTGCCAATACCTATCCTCTATGTTAGACAGTGTGTCTCTACCTTAAACCAACAGAAAAGTGATTTTATAGTGGGCTAATAAATATATATAATGGCCAGGCTGCCGTGGCCATTCCCCCTTGGAATCAGGAGTGGAGAATCTATTGCTCTTGAAAGAATCTATGCCAAATTCAATCCCTTAAAATAGCAGTGCCATAATCCAGGGACAAACAGGGACAAACCCTGGGCCTGTCCTTTGTGTGCTGGACATTTCCCTGCCCTGACACACAAACAATCCCTTTGTGCAGGACACAAACAAGGGCAGGTTCCTGGCACAACACAAAGAATGGATTCAGCGTCGGGATCAGCTGAGCTGTGCCCATGACGTGGCCTGTTTGCCCCAGCAGCCCCCACTGCCACTGCTCCAGCCCAGGGCCTGGCCCACCTGGGTTTTTCCTAAGAGAAAACCCGGTGGTTTTATTCCAGGAAGGAAGAAGAAGGCAAATTCCCCAGCAATGGCTCCGTGGGAGCTGTGCCAGCACTCCCCAGCACATCCTGACGCAGCTGGTGGCCCAGGGTCTTGGGCTCCTCATGGGGGTCATGGGCTCCTCATGAGGGTCTCAGGCCCCTCATGGGGGTCTTGGGCTCCTCACGGGGGTCATGAGCTCCTCATGAGGGTCTTGGGCTCCTCACGGGGGTCTCAGGCCCCTCATGAGGGTCATGGGCTCCTCATGAGGGTCATGGGCTCCTCATGGGGGTCACGGGTCCCTTCTGGGGGTCTCAGGCCCCTCACGGGCATCCCAGGTCCCCCATGGGGGTCATGGACCCTTCACGGGGGTCTCAGGCCCCTCATGAGGGTCTTGGGCCCCTCACGAGGGTCTTGGGCTCCTCACGGGGGTCTCAGGCCCCTCATGAGGGTCTTGGGCTCCTCACGGGGGTCATGGGCTCCTCACGGGGGTCTCAGGCCCCTCATGAAGGTCTTGGGCTCTTCATGAGGGTCTCAGGCTCCTCACGGGGGTCATGGGCTCCTCACGAGGGTCATGGGCTCCTCATGGGGGTCACGGGTCCCTTCTGGGGGTCTCAGGCCCCTCACGAGCGTCCCAGGTCCCCCATGGGGGTCATGGACCCTTCACGGGGGTCTCAGGCCCCTCATGAGGGTCTTGGGCTCCTCACGGGAGTCACAGGCTCCTCATGAGAGTCATGGGCTCCTCATGAGGGTCTTGGGCTCCTCATGAGGGTCTTGGGCTCCTCACGGGGGTCTTGGGCTCTTCATGGGGGTCATGGGCTCCTCCCGGGGGTCCCAGGTCCCTCACAGGGGTCCCAGACCCCTCCCGGGGGTCCCAGACCTCTCCCGGGGGTCCCAGACCCGTCCCGGGGGTCCCAGACCCCTCCCGGGGGTCCCGGATCCCTCCCGGGGGTCCCAGACCCGTCCCGGGGGTCCCGGGTCCCTCCCGGGGGTCCCAGGTCCCTCCCGGGGCTCCCAGACCCCTCCCGGGGGTCCCAGACCCCTCCCGGTGGTCCCAGACCCCTCACAGGGGTCCCAGACCCCTCCCGGGGGTCCCGGGTCCCTCCCGGGGGTCCCAAATCCCTCCCGGGGGTCCCGGGTCCCTCCCGGGGGTCCCAGACCCCTCCCGGGGGTCCCAGACCTCTCCCGGGGGTCCCAGACCCGTCCCGGGGGTCCCAGACCCCTCCCGGGGGTCCCGGATCCCTCCCGGGGGTCCCAGACCCGTCCCGGGGGTCCCGGGTCCCTCCCGGGGGTCCCAGGTCCCTCCCGGGGCTCCCAGACCCCTCCCGGGGGTCCCAGACCCCTCCCGGTGGTCCCAGACCCCTCACAGGGGTCCCAGACCCCTCCCGGGGGTCCCGGGTCCCTCCCGGGGGTCCCAAATCCCTCCCGGGGGTCCCGGGCGCTCTCCGCGCTCCCGGTGAGGCGCACCCCGTACCGCCGCCAGGGGGCGCGCTGCTCCCCCCGCTCCGTGCGCGCCTCACGGAGGGGGCGTGGCCTGGCCTGGCCCCTCCCGGCAGGGCCGCGTGCGCCCGCCAAAGCATTCCGGGCGGGAACGGGGGCGGCGGCGCGTTCCGGGTGGCGCGTTCCGTTCCGCCTCCCCCCCCGCCCCCCCTCCCCGCACCGGGAGCGGCCTCAGCGGCGGCGGCGGCGGCGGCGGCGGGAGGGCCCCGGGGCCGCTCCGGGCCGGGCCGCGCCGGGCCACCCATGGAGCCTCTCGTAGGTAACGGCGGGCCCCCGCTCGGCCTCGGGAAAGTTTTGGCGGGGCCGGGCCTCGGGGCGGCGGCGGCGGCGGCCGCGGGGTCACGGCGCGGCCTGAGGGGGCGGCGGGGGCGGGTCCCGGGGTCGCTCCCGGGGTACCGGGGGGGTGGCGGGGTGCGGGTCCCGCCTGCGGGGCCGGGCCGGGAGGGCTCCCCGCGCCGCCGCTGCCCGGTGCCGGTGCGGAGCCCCCGGGCCTGTCCCGCCGCGGTTCGCGGCTCCCCGCGGAGGGGCCGACCCCCGGGGCAGGGCAGTGACGTTTTGCTGGTCCCGGCGATTTAGGGACAAATAATTTTCCTCTCGGTGCTCGTTTTCCCCCCGGAGCACCGGGATTTCCCGAGGGCTGCCCGCTCCAGGCTGGGGTCGCTCCCCGGGGCCGGTGTCGAGCGGGGCAGAGCCGTGAGCGGCCGCCGGGGCCGGGCTGGGGTCTGTCGGCGGAGAAACGCGAGCTCAGAAACAATCCTGGAGTTTGGGACTTCCCGAGGAGAGGGAATTCCTCCTGTGACTGATTCCCGGTGTCCGTGTTGTCGGGGAATCTGTTCCGAGGCCTTGGCACTCACTCCCGGTAGCGGGACGGAGCCTCCCCGGGAGTTGGGTTGGATCCCGGTGCACCGGGAATGCTGCGGGGCTTTCCTGCCTGTGAAATGGGTACTTGTGACCAGGGATCTCCGGGTTCCTAAAAGCCTTGCTGTGTCTAAAAGCCTGAAGTCGTGGAGCTGGAAAATCCAAACTTCCAGCCAGGATTCTTCGCCCTGAATCTTTTTTTTTTTTTTTTGGGAAATGGGATTTTTAAGCTACTTAAAGGTGGTTTTGTGCTAAAGAAGCTTCTGGAGTGGAGCTGCTGTGGCCACCTGTGGATGCAGTGTTGGATGTGTCTGAAGGGGCACAGCTGGATCCACAGCTGGATCCAGGCATCCCCCGGGTGTGCTTCAGCTGGGAGAACCTTGTCTGGTGTGGGCAGGAGCATCCAAATCCCACCAGGATGGAAAAAGGAGCCCAAACCACTTAAAAATTCAGGACTCTGCTCTTCCTGCTGCCGTAGTATTGGTTGGTTCAGTTTTCTGTTGGAATTTATTACATTTTCTGCTGGTGTTTGTGCTGAATCTGTGCCACTCGGCGCTGGGACGTGGCTCTGCTCTCCGTGGGGGAGATGCTGTGGCACTTCAGCTCTCAGAGTCCTGAGTCACACCCTAAACTCATCCCTGAAAATGGATTGTCCTTGCGGGAGGAGCGCTGGGTTGAAATATTCTGGGGAGGAAACGCGCGGAATTGGCGCTGGAGCTGCCGTGGCCTGGATTGCAGAGGGGACACTTGGAATATCCCCCGGGATACGGGCAAGGACAGCACGTGCCAGGCCCAGCTCTTGCACAGAACCAGGCTCAGGCTGGAAATAGGCACGGCCTGCTTCAAGGAGAACTTGGCTCAAAGGGAATTTCTGTGGTGCAGACGCTGAGAGAGCTGAGTTTGTTGTCAGTGCTTCATGAGAGAATCCTGTGATTTTTGGAGCAGTTAATAACCAGGAGGGATAATGATGGTGGGACAGAGCCTGGATTTGATGGAGCTGCTGTGTTTGTGTTGGAGACTTATTGGGCTTTTCTCTGTCTCTGGTGGGTTCTTCAGCCCAAAGTTCAGGATGACCTGGGTGTCCCAGTGCCCAGCTGTGTCTGGAGCACTGGGAAGCAGCTGGAGCTCTGGAAAAAACAGGATGAAGCTGTTAATTGAACCACTGAAACTTTACAAAAATGGGATGATTTCCATAACTGTTGCTTCACTCCAACTCCTGAGCACCAGCGTGGTTTTAGGATCCCCTTTTCCTTGCTGGAGCAGCTCCTTTGTGGGGTTTATGTGCTGTCCTTTTGGATTGTGCTAAAACTCTGCCAGAGATTCCAGAGCCTGCAGTTCTCAGAATCTTGGAGAGCTGTTCCTACCAAGCATGAGGTGCAGCCACAGAGCCACGTCCAGCACTGCCACAGCTGCCTGTGCCCTCTGATCCCCAATATCCCTGTTTTTCCCTGTCAGACTGGCTTCCTTCTGCACTCACAGCACCCCTCCTTGGGGCTGAGGGGCTCCAGGGGTGTCCTGCACCATCACTTGTATCAGGAATAACTGATTTTTTGTGGATGATGATGAGGAGCTGGGCTGATTCCCTGGCAGAGGCAGGAGCTGCAGGGTGTGTGTCCCACCCAGCACTTCCAGATGGAGCTTAGTGACAAGGCACAGGTGTCAGGTCAGGACGGGTGCCGCTAATCCCAGCGTTAGGTAACCTGCTGGGCCAGCACAGGGATGTGGGATGGGATGGGGGCAGCCCCCACTCTTCTGGGGAGCAGGAGGAAGCCAAAAACCTCCCTCTGGAGCATCAGGGCATGCTCAGAGCTCATGGAGAAGCTCATTTTTCTCATTGTTACCCCGACAGAGCTCAGGTTGGAGCTGCTCCCGCATCCCACGTGCAGGTCCCAGCATGGCCTTTCCCCTGCTTAGCCCTGAGTGCTGCCAAATTTCAGGGTTTTGGAGGAATTTGGGGTTTAGGTGTTTGTTATGTGCTGGTTTGCCACTTTGCTGCGGGTCCCCGATGGCGTGTGGGTCTGGCAGGATTAGATTTCCCATGGATTTAGGCACCTCCTGCCTCACCTGTGGCTCCCTGAGGGTCTGGCTTGGTGTCCCCTGTGTCCCTGTGGGGAAGGGATGTGGCAGAGGGGCTGGGCCAGGAGCAGAGCCCTGGGAGTGGAGTCCTGGCTCCCAGCTTGGTTCCTGTCCTCAGCAAAACATCACGTGGCAGATCCGGGGGAGAGACGTCAGAGTTTGATGCTCCTAAAATATTTCTGGAAGTATCTTTATAAACAAAGTGGAGCCACCAGTCAGGCCGACCTTGGGTCAGGATTTGGCCCTAACAAAGAGAATTATTTCCTCTTTCTGCAGCATGTTCAGCACAAATGAAATCTAACAAATTAATGGAATTAAAGCCCCATAAATTCCAGTCTGGGACTTTAAATTGATCCAGTTTGCTGCTCCACAATTGGTTCTGGTGAACTGCTTCAAGTCAGCGTTCCCAATGGTTGATTTCCCCCAGGATGGAGCCGAGAGACACTGAGCTCTTGGACCTTGTGTCTTGAATTCCTCCCTCAGTTTCCTGACTTCTCTGATGGTGTTGTGGCAGGGAGTGCAGTCCTGCCTGCGGAGGGCTGGGATGCTCCACGTGCTCCTGGCGAGTCCCTTCCCAAACCTGGCATGCAACCATTGGAGTTTCCCTGGGAGAGGCCATAGGCAGCAAGAGAGAGGAGGCTCCAGGGGGGTTTTATGACTTTCCCCTTATTTTGGATGGACATTTGGTGTGAAAAGTCTGAATTCCCGTTAGGAAGGATTTGCAGGTTGCCAGGATGGACTAAACCCAGCTTTGCTCCATTCCCAAAGGTGGAACTGGGCAGATTCCTGCTGCCTGGAAGGCTGAAGGTTGGTGTCAGCATTGGGTGGATCCGTGGGCACTTTGGAATGGGGCTCTCACTGGGTTCCCACGGGCGTGTGGCCATGGAATGCTGTTTGCATGAAGCTCCAGCTCCTTCTGGTCCCAGCGAGCTGCAGCCCCAGCACCAGGAGCGTTGCTGTGCTCAGTGTGGGGGATATTTGTAAAACATTTGCTGATGTGTCCTGCAAAGAACTGTTGGGATCACAGGAACAACGGGGCTTAGTCCTAAATACATGTTTTCCACATATTTCTGGTTGGAATGTGCCAGGAACGCTCGCTTTGGATTACATCCAGCTGTGCTGCACCCCCATGCGCTCCCGGGGGCTTTGGGGTGTGCTCAGCGCCTGCTGCATTGCTGGGGGATGGATCTGCAGTTGTGGATCTCCTGGGGCTTGGATTTCCTCCCTGGGCTCATATTTCCCACCTGTTCTGGAAGGAGGGAAGAGGAGAGAGCATTTCCCTTCCACAGGGAAAGGAAATAATCGATAACTCTGGGGTGGGGACATTTCTCCGTCCGATCCCTCAACAAATCTCCAACAATCCGTCAGTGCCTCGTTGGACCCCGAGTTTTCCATCTGTGTTTTCCCTGGCATTTTTGTGCACGCGGGAGTTTGGAATGCCGTGGATGAGGGGGTGGGATGTGCTGCTTGTTCCCTCCCCACACCTCCGCCGCGCGTGCTGAGTTTTCATTTTCGTTGGAATTCCACACCCACCTGAAGGAAGCTGTTCCCGTTATCGCAGCCAGTCTCATCCTGGAGCTGCTCCTTGCTCCGGCAACTCTTGCCAGGGATTAGAGGATCCAAATGTGTGGCTCCTAATTAGGGATGTTCCCTAAATTGGTGGAGTAAGAGCAGGAATCGCTGCCAAATCCTGCTCCCGGAATGCGCCGGGCTCTGGCATCGCTTCTTCCGACGGAGCTTTTCTGGGAGGAGGAACTTAACAACTCGATTGTGGGAATGGTGTTTCTCCAGCAAAGCCAAGAGATTCCAGGTTAAAGTCTGGATGCTGGTGTGGAGTTGTGCTGTTAGGGAATTTCACCCACCTTTAAGGAAAATCTTGAAAAAAAATATTTCAAGGCACCAAGGGGGTTTTGCCCCTTTTTAGGGATAATCCTGAAAAAGAGACTTTATTTTTCGGACATCAGGAAAACAACCAGGTTTGTTCATATTCCACACAACAAATGGAATTTGCTCTCATACCTAATACATCAGAACCTCTCTCCCAGCCTTCCCAGATTTTCAGCTCGGCATAAATTCTTTTCCCATTCTTTTCTGTTCCTTGATGGCAGAATTTTTATCCCAGCCTTTAACTGCAAAGTACCAAATTCCGTGGAGCGCTTTGCTGGTCTGGACTCCCACGGATGAGGCTGCTCTTCCTTTCCCTCTCTGCCCCGAGGAATGCGGAAAATCAGGATTTGAAGGCATGGCAGGAGCACACGCCTTTCGCAGGCTCAGAACCCAACAAAATCCAGATTTACAGACTAGATCTGTGGTTTTGTTCCCCTCTGGGAAGGAGCTCTGGAGTGGAAAGGAGCTCTGTCTGGACATTGATTTTGTCTGCCATTGCAATTGGGATTGTTTGGTTTGGGTCTTTTTGTCTGAAAGGGGCTTTTAAAAATGTATTTTCTTTAGGGCACATCTCCTAATTCTTCCCTTTCCCTGCCTCACAGCTGGGGTGCTTGGAGTGGGATGAAACAGGGATTTGCTCCCTGTAAATGCGCAAGAGAAACTTTCTGCTTTCTCATTGCTCCCAAATATTAATTTATATATAGATATTCATTTATGTAATTTGGTAAGAAAATCTGCACCACCTTTGAGATGAGAATTGAGTTCGGCTCGTGAATTTTCCAAGGAAATGCCCCGTGTTGGTTACAGCAAAGTGAGTGTTGTTCTCCCATCTCCCAGGGAATGAACAGCACTCCTGGAGCACAGTTAATTTTGAGGGAGGTTCATTCACCCCTCAGCTCGTTCCCAGCTGGGGTGTACAATCCATGTGTGCTCTCTGGCATTCCCAGATTGATGCCGAGGAGCCGATCCGGTGCCGCTGACTCCGTCTGGCCTCGGCTATGGACATCGTCCTGTCGGATTTTGTTCGCTCGACGGGGGCAGAGCCGGGGCTGGCCAGAGACCTCCTTGAAGGTATGGGAATAATGATGGAAAATTGGGAATAATGGAGTGGCTGGTGAGCAAAAAGGGTGAAGGAGCTGGGGGCTGGAGCCAGAGACCTTCTTGAAGGTGTGGGAATAGTGATGGAAAATTGGGAATAATGGAGTGGCTGATGAACAAAAAGGGGCTGGAGCCAGAGACCTTCTTAAAGGTATGGGAATAGTGATGGAAAATTTGGAATAATGGAGTGGCTGATGAGCAAAAAGGGTTGAAAAAAAAAAGGAGCTGGGGGCTGGAGTCAGAGACCTTCTTGAAGGTATGGGAATAATGATGGAAAATTGGGAATAATGGAGTGGCTGATGAGCAAAAAGGGTTGGAAAAGGGTGAAGGAGCTGGGGACTGGAGCCAGAGACTTCCTTGAAGGTATGGGAATAATGATGGAAAATTGGGAATAATGGAGTGGCTGATGAGCAAAAAGGGTGAAGGAGCTGGGGGCTGGAGCCAGAGATGTTCTTGAAGGTATGGGAATAGTGATGGAAAATTGGGAATAATGGAGTGGCTGGTGAGCAAAAAGGGGCTGGCCAGAGACCTCCTTGAAGGTATGGGAATAGTGATGGAAAATTGGGAATAATGGAGTGGCTGATGAGCGAAAAGGGTGAAGGAGCTGGGGGCTGGAGCCAGAGACTCCAGACATGGGAATAATGATGGGAATAATGGAGTGGCTGATGAGCAAAAAGGGTGAAGGAGCTGGGGGCCGGAATAGTTTCCAGCACAGATGTTTAGGAAGTGCCTCGGTTTCCCTGCTGGCTGAGGGTGACCGGTGCTGCTCCCTCCCCATCCAGGCAAGAACTGGGACCTGAGCGCGGCGCTGAGCGACTTCGAGCAGCTCCGGCAGGTGCACGCCGGGAACCTCCCGCCTTCCTTCAACGAGGGCCGCGGGGCCCGGCCCCCGGAGCGGGAGGTGGCGCGGCCGGCGCGGCCCCCGCTGCAGCGCCAGGATGACATCGTGCAAGGTCAGCGTCCTGCAGCCGAGGGGGATCTGTCACATCTCCTCTGCTCGCTGCCACATCCGCAGCCTGGGAGCCCAGCTCATCCCCCTGGCTGGCTCCAGACCCTGGCAGGGGCTCAGAGATGTGGCACGAAGTTAAAACCACCTGTGGCTTCCATTATAGCCCGTGGAAATAACTGCCAACTCTGTGTGAGGAATTACAAGCCACAGGGGTTTGAGTTGTGGGGTAGTTGAATTAACACAGGCTGGAAAAAGTAGAATTTTGGGGTTTTTAGAATGGAGTTCAAGGGTACAAGATGGAGAAGTTTGAGCATATCCTGGCCTCCTTCTCCTTCTTCTTGTCCTCCGTGTCTTGGTGTGATGGTGACACTTTTCTATTGGTTTAAGGTAAAGAGACACTATCTCACATAGATTATAGATATTGGCACATTATTGTAAACATAGCACACGTAGGTTTGGGTATAAAACGTGTAAACTTTAGTATAAAATGTGTAAATTTTAGTATAAAATGCCCTAGAGGGCAGACAGAATGCCACAACCTCCTTGCTAGACAGAGCTTGGCAGGTCAGAGAAAGAATATTCTAGTAAGGGAAAATAAACAACCTTGAGGCTCAGACTCCTCCTGTGGCTGCACGGGCTGGGAAATGAGGACTTTTACACTCTTGAGGCCATCCTGACATGCAGACCCTGAGGCTGCAGCAGTTTGGTGCTGGCTGCTCTGGGATTTGCTGCTGCTGCCCAACTTTGCGTTTGCTGTTCCTTCTTTCCCCCAGAGAAGCGCCTGTCCCGTGGCATTTCCCACGCCAGCTCCACCATCGTGTCCCTGGCCCGTTCCCATGTCTCCAGCAACGGCAGCAGCAGTGAGCACCTGCTGGAGATGCCCATCTGCACCTTCCAGCTGCCCGACCTCACCGTGTACCCCGAGGACTTCCGCAGCTTCATCGAGCGGGATCTTATCGAGCAGTCCATGCTGGTAGCACTGGAGCAGGCTGGTGAGTGCTGGATCCACGCTGGTGCCGTGTGCCGTGGGCAGCTGGGGGGTGCCACCCACGGGATATCACATGGATGCGTATCCAACAGGGAATTATTCCATTGTTTTTGTGACCTGGTGCAAGGGTTGAGTAGGAGCTGCTTCCCTTCACCCATGGAAACGGAGTGTAAATAACCCAGGGCTGTTACCACTGTGCACAGCTGAGAGGGAAAACACCCCAAAACTGACATTGTCTCATCCCTGGAGCATCCCAATCCTCTGTCCTGCCTGTCCCGTGGAGAGACAGGGAAAATGGAATTCCAGTCTGACACATCCTGACAAATTCTGTGCTGATTACAGACCCTTGAGGTCGGTGCTGCTGCTCCAGTGCCTGCTGGGTGCCTGGGGAGGAACCCCCTGCTTTGGTTCCAGGTTCCTGGGGAGCTGCCAGGGGGTCTGTAAATGAGGGAATGAGGGAGACATCCGTGCTGGCAGGGAAAACCTCATCCCTGGCACCAGGAATGTTCCCGTGGGCAGGGGCAGGACGGCCTGAGGGATCTCATGGGGGTTTACACCCCCCACTGTTTCTGTGCTGCTGCACATGGCAGAAAACACATTATCCCTAGGGATAACAGACACTCTGAGGGCCCAGCTTCTCCCTCTCCTGCTCAGGAGTTGCTGTAAGAAATATTCTCATGTTTTGGGAATGAGCACTTGATCCCAGCGATCCCGTTACACGGCGACGCCGCGCGGTGCCAGCAGAGCTGCTGGCTCTGGTGCAGATGAACCCCAGATCTCATCCCAGCAGAGCCTCCTGTGCCCCAGCACAAATGGAATGCGGGGCTGGGGGTTGCTGGGTGCTTCATCCCTGGGCTGGGGGCACTTCCAGGTGTGCTGAGATCCTGGTAGCGGGAAGGAATTTAGAAATTCAGAGTTTTAGAAAATGCCTTTTGGAGATTTGAGTGTCTGTGGGTTGTTATAAATGAGGGTTTTGTCTGTAACAAAGGGCTGTAGTGCAGCTATGAAATATTCCAAGCCGGATTCCAAGTAGGGTTTTGAGCATGGTGCTGTGATCTACGGGGACTCCTGTTATTAGCACACACCATCCTTAGGGAATTAAGGAAATATGTTTTAGAGCCCAATAAATGTTCAGATCCTCTTCCCCATGTATTCAGAGGTCCTGTTACACCATTGTGGCAGAGTAAGCACTTCCAAAGTGGTGGTAGACTTCAGTGAGATCCTCTGGGAGTGCTTTGAATGTGCTTGGAGTGGTATGGCAGGGTCTTGGTGGAGCTGAGACCTCAGCTCTCAGCGGAGCCTTGGTGTCCTTTGACACAAACCCTTGTGGATCAGGAACTGGGCCTTGCTCTGATGATAAAAATCATCAAGAACTGAAAGATCCCGATCCTTTGAGTTGGCCTCGGGAGCAATCCTTGGGACACTCCTTGTGTCAGGAAGCCAGAGTGGATTCCTGGTAGCCTTGGGGAAGCCGTTTATGGTTTGGATGAGGCAATCCTCCCTTCAGGCTGGGTGGAGCCATCAGTTCCTTCCCATTGCTGTGACCTGTTCCGGTGGCTCCTGCTGGAAGATCCCATGGGATTTGCCCAAACACCCTGTGGGATAACCCAGGCTGATGGTGCAGAGGGAGCCTCTGGATGCCAGTGGGCTTTTCCTGTGTGCAGATCTGTTGCCACCATGGCTTTTTCTGGGAAGATCCCTCAGTTGATTTCCCTTTTGAGGGGAAATCAACAGTTGATTTCCAGTTGATTTCCCTGCCGAGCTCTCAGGGCTGCCTCTTAAGAGCCACACAGAGAGAAATGTGTTGTTTTCAATACTTCTGGGCAGCCTCTTGGCCTTTTGACGGGAGCAAAACACTGGGAGGAGGGTTGGGCGTGTGGTTCCTTTGGAGACGACTTCTCTTGCGTAACTGGAGCCAGGGCAAACACTCGGGCACAGAAATACCTCTGCAAGGTGTGTCCCCTCGGATTGACTGGAGCAGAGCTTTCACAACCTCCAAAGCACCAGCAGGACATGCAAACTCCAGGGAAAAGAGCATTGAATCCTGCAGGAATGAGGGAAAATGGATCAGAAGGTGCTGCCCCTGGCAGGGTTACGTGTGGGACAGCTCCTGTGAGGCGCCCCTGGCCCTGGGCCATTTGGCCAGGCTCCCGACTCGGCCGTGCCAGGAGCTAAATTGAGGGAACAGGCAGCTTCTCTGTGCAGAGCCATTGTCCCCAGGCTCAGTGCAGAGTGCTTCCAGCTCTGGCGGGTCCCTTTCCTGGCGCTGGGAGCAGCCCCGACCTGCCCGTGTCACACTGAGCGCCATGGTTTTTGTTTTCTCGTGTCTGGGGATGTTTTAACCCCTGTTTTCTGTGTTTAGTTCCTCTCCAGCTGCTCTCCCTGAGGTTGTACAAAGCATTTCCAGCAATCCCGTGTCTGTGTACTGGGATCTCTGGCAGGGATTATGCTCCAGAGGAAGGACAGGCTCTTTGGAAGCGATGGGAAAAAGGGCTGGTTTCCTGCAGGAGCAATTTAAATACAACTTGGAAGCCTCAACAGCGTAATCCAGCCAAAAACCTGCCTGTTGCACAGGATCCAAAAACTCCTGGAAAATAATGGCAGCCAAGGAGGGATGTTGAGGGCAGGGCAAGACACAGACGGGGCTTCAAAGTTCTGATGCAGCCCAGCTTCACTCCCTTGGGAAGGGCTGAATCTCCAGCCACACTGGGCATTTCTTCCTACCTTCTATTTTTAGCTGCTCTTGACTTGAATCACCACAATGACCCAAAACTCCCAGCCTAAAGCGCCACTGGTTCGTATTTGCAGCAGGAGAGCTGCTGGGATCAGCAGAAATCCTGGAATATTCTGCCTAAAAATCAGTGAGCAGGGAAACGTGGCCATGAGAGAGTTGAAACTGGAGGGATTTGGTTCCAAGAAGCAGCAGAAAGCTGGATTTCCCTGGAGAGGTTGTTTGTGCTGGGTGCTCCTGGAGGCATTTTCAGGCTGATGGGATGAAATAAAGGAAATAAGGGGTGTGGGGGAAAAACAGATAGAGGAGAACTGGTCTGGGTGGAAGTCCTGGCTCCTATTTGTGTGTAATTCTGATTTGTGTGACCCCAAATTCAGCCAGGTCTTTTCCTGGCATCCTCGGGGAGTTTTGCAGCCCCAGTCTCCTCTCTTTTGTTGCTTTGTCCTGACTCTTCCCCACCCAGTCCTGGCATGGGTCTGTACCTTCCCACCTGCCCAGGCACTCCCCTGCTTGTTCAGCTGGTTTTTGGCCGTGGTTTCAGAAGGGCTGAGCCCTGCAGTGCCCCCAGAACGCCCCAGTCTCGTGTTGTGCCACGATTTCACACTCTCCCACATCTCCCCAGGGCGTCTCAACTGGTGGGTGACGGTGGATCCCAGCTGCCAGCGCCTGCTGCCCCTGGCCACCACTGGCGACGGGAATTGCTTGCTCCACGCCGCCTCCCTGGGTAAGGCTTGGCTCAATCCCCAGGGAAACGGCCAACCAGGCCCTGGGCAAGAGCCCACCACCCCTTTTGGGAGCATTCCAAATCTAACTAACTCACAACTCGTGACCCTCTCTCTCGAGTCCAGCCCCAGGTGGGTTGGATTGTCCATCAGGCTCAAACAATCCTCACCAGAACCTAATCAAGTAATCACTCTAGGTAAACAATTCTCCAAACACATTCCACATGGGAAAAACAAGGAGTAGAAATAGAAATTGTTTTCTCTTTCTTACTTTTGTGTTCCTCTATGAAAAAATCGAGAGAGAGAAGAATGTGCCTGCCACACTCCCCTTCTGTCTGGCAAGTTTCCCTGGATGCCTGAAGGAAATGTGGGATAATAGAGCAGCCCCTCAGTGGGCCAGGGAGTCACACGAGCCCCTCCTGAGCTTGCAGCCTGTTCCTTGTCCCTGCAGGTATGTGGGGCTTCCATGACCGGGATCTCATGCTCAGGAAATCCCTCTACACGCTGATGGAGAAGGGAGCGGAGCGGGAGGCGCTGAGGCGGAGATGGCGCTGGCAGCAGACGCAGCAGAACAAGGAGGTGGGAGCCAGCTGAGTGTTGGTTTGTGCCCTCTTTGGTGGGTTTGGGAGGCGCTTCCTGGCGGGTCTGGAATTTTGGGCAGCTCCCTGCTGTGCCATTGGACTGTGCTGTGGGAAGGGGTCTTGGGACAAGTGACAGGACGAGGGGAATGGATTTAAATTGAGAGGGGAAGTTTGGATGAACATTGGGAAGCACTTTTGAGGACACGGTGCAGAATGTGTTGGTTATTTTTGCATAAACCCATAGAGGAAAGTTGTGCTCTGGGTATAAACCAGTGCTGGAGCAACTGGAAGAGCTCTGTGTGGAGGATTTTTGGGTTCTCTTTGCCGTTTTTCAGTCTGGCCTGGTTTACACGGAGGAGGAGTGGCAGAAGGAGTGGAACGAGCTGATCAAGCTGGCGTCCAGCGAGCCCCGCGTGCACTACAGCACCAACGGCGGCAGCTGCGGCGGGTACGGAGCAGAGAACACATCCAGGTGTAGAGAGGGAATGAATTCCCTCGGGGCACAGCTCTCGTGGTGCTCCAGGGCAGGAAAGCGGGTCTCTGGTGGTCTGGTTGTGGTTTCAGGGGAAGGACAAGGATCCCGAGGGAGCACAAGGCACACTGAGCGTCCCAGGAAAGGATTTTGGTGCTGCACGGCCTCTTCTGTGGGGCAGCACATGGATTGAGCAGGGAATTAATCTTTCCCTGGTGTTTCCTGGTGTTTCCTGGTCTTTCCTCGTCTTTCCTGGTCTTTCCTGGTCTTTCCTTGTCTGTCTTTCCTTGTCTTTCCTTGTCTTTCCTTCTGCTTCCTTCTGTTGCTCACTCTGAAATAAGAGAATAACCCAGAGCTGAGAGTTTTTGCCACCTCGCTTCTGTTCCAAGGTTCAGCCCTGCCACAGCTGTCCAGCTCCTTAGATAAGGGACTCCCAGCAATGCCAGGCAGCAGCTGGGCATTCCTTGGGCACAAGCCCTTGTCTTGGAGCAGGACATTTTGAGAATCCACACCCAAACCCTCAGATTAATGCTGAGATCAGCCTCGGCTCTGTCCACCCACCCCTACGTGCAGCTTCCTCCAGGTGTTACAAAGCAAATGATTGAATATCCAAGGGATGACACTGACCTTCTCCTTTGCCCAAGGGTGGAGAGTTCAGAGGAGCCGGTGTACGAGAGCCTGGAGGAGTTCCATGTCTTTGTCCTGGCCCACGTGCTGAAGAGACCCATCGTGGTGGTGGCAGACACGATGCTGCGGGACTCGGGCGGCGAAGGTGAGACCTGCCCCTCTTCCCAAAGCCTCTCTGAGCTCTCCACCTTTCCTTTCTACCCTTCCTGGCACCCCTTTGCTATCAAGGCTGGACCTGGAGGTGGGAATGGTGCAGAGGGGAAAACTGACCTGCTACAGGTGAGCCCGCAGAGGGCCCAGGGCCAGGTTTGGCTCCCAGCCTGATTTCTGCTGCTTTAAGAGCATCCACAGGAGTTTTTTGTTTTGGTTTGGTTTTTTTACCTCTTTTGCCCCTACACACACATTAGAGATGAGACATTCCGTTCCCTGGGTGGCGGATTTTCCACCATCAGCTTCAGTTTCCTGTCAGAGAAGGTTAATCAACTTCCGTCATTCTGTGGGCAAAGTTTGTCTTGTGGGGGAGTGCAGAGGAAGGCTTTTTATAGAAAATACCCGTTCATTCTACATTTTAAATCCTCCTGATGTAAAATAAGCATCTATTTTGGGTTGTGGTTTTGTTTAATGTCCCCTGAGATGACAGATAATTGCAGGTGAGCCCTCGACCGAGGCAAAGGGCTCATTCTGGAGCAGTTGCAGCACAAACAGCTCTGAACTCTTGAACCTGTCATCAGAACTAACCACTCTCATTTCTTCCCAGCCTTTGCCCCAATTCCCTTTGGAGGGATCTATCTTCCCCTGGAAGTCCCAGCCAACAAATGCCACCGGTCTCCACTGGTTTTGGCTTATGACCAAGCCCATTTTTCTGCCCTGGTCTCCATGGAGCAGAAGGAAAACACAAAAGATCAAGGTGAGTGATGAGGTTCAAACTGAGGAGGAGGATTTGGGAGTGCTGGGGGGGAAAAGCTGGCCAGGACCCATCAATGTGCACTGTCAGCCCAGAAAACCAGCAGTGTCCTGGCCTTGGAGCCCTTCCAGTGCCTAAAGGGGCTCCAAGAGCTGGAGGGAGACTTGGGACAAAGGCCTGGAGTGACAAGACAAGGGAAATGGCTTCCCACTGACACAGGGCAGAGTTAGATGGGATATTATAAAGAAACTCTTCCCTGTGAGGGTCATGAGGCATTCCATGGTGCTCTGACAATTCCATAATCCCAGGAATTGCCAGCACTGGCATTTGCCATCAGGCCATTCCCATCAGAGGTGACAATGCTCCTGGTGGGTGTTCAGAGTTGGCTCCAAGCGTGGAATATTTGTCCTTCTGGGCTGTAAACGTGACATTTCTGTCCCGGGGCAGCTGTGATCCCCCTGACAGACTCTGAGCACAAGCTGCTCCCCGTGCACTTCGCCGTGGATCCCGGGAAGGAGTGGCAGTGGGGGAAGGACGACAGTGACAACGTCAAGCTGGCCAGGTTGGTGACCTGCAGGTGATGCAGGGTGAGGCTCCACTGGGGCTCTGGGTGATCTGCAGAGCAGAGAGGTCACGGATGAAGGGGTCAGTCCTGACCCCAGCTGGGTTTTCTTGTGCTGGATAAAAGTTGTGCCCACAGGGAATGGCACCGTTCGTGGGGATGGAGGAACTTTTCCTTCATTTTCCTTCATTCTGATATGATTTGGGTGGGGCTGTGACATCTCACGAGCTTCATTCCCACATAGCAAGTAGATGATGCTCCAGATCCTGGAGCTCTGGGCTGGCTGTAGCTCAAGACACCAGCAGCAGGGGAGGCTCTTCTGTCATAGCAGCACAAAAAAGGGGTATTTTAACATTTGCCACCAAATCCCTGTGTCGTGGGTCCCTGGAGCAGGGAGGGTGGTGGCCACCAGACCATGCCTGGTCTGGGTGAGGCTTTGGGCAGGTCTCACCATGGTTTGGTCCCAGCAGTTCCTTTGATTTGATTCCAACACCGAGGAATCTGATTTCTCCCTTTGGCTTTTCATTGAAAGGAAAACTGCATAATTGTCCCTTCTGTGCCCTTGGACCTGCTGTAGGAAAACCCCCATTTAAATACATAACACAGGGAATAATGTAAATACGGGGGGAGATATTTCCAGGTGGGAAATGGCTCTAACTTGTGGCTTTACCCCCTCCAATGCCAGCGTGACGCTGTCACTGGAAGCCAAACTGCACCTGCTGCACAGCTACATGAATGTCAGATGGATCACGTTGCCTTGTGACATGCAGGTAAAGGGACCAGGGGGATCTTCTTTGCCTATGAATTATTCAGCCCTTCTCTCTACAAGGAAGCTGTTGTAGACTTACCTGGGGGCTCTGCCTCATGCGGGGCTCTGTGCCCGCAGGAATTGTGGCTGACTGCTCAGAGAGCAGGGAAGTGGCTCAGTTTTGTGGGTGGGCACCTTTTCCCTAGAGCTTCCACGTCTGTTTTCAGTCTTCACATGACCCAGCTGCCCCTCAGGGACTCCCTGTGCTCCAAACAAACGGGAGCTGTTGGTTTATGGCCACCTCGAGACTGGGACAAGTCTCACCCCTCTCTTCCCTGGCTTTGCACCTGAAACCTTGAGCAAGTGGAGGTATTACAGAACCACAGAATAGAATAATAAGATCCTAGACTACCTCAGGTTGAAAGGGGGATATTTAGAGATGCACAGGATGTGTGGGGATGTGCTTCTCTAAGCGTGGCCGGACGCCGTCCCCTCCGCGTTCCAAGCAGCACCACCTCCTTTGCTTCACCTTCCACCTGAAAATCTGTACCTGAGGAGTTTCTAGACTTTGGTAATTTGTTTTTCCTTCCTGCCCAGGCGCCTCTGGCCCAGCCAGAATCCCCCACGGCCTCCGCGGGCGATGACGCTCGCTCGGCAGCGGAGTCGGGCGAGTCGGACAAGGAGTCAGTGTGCAGCAGCTCTGCCAGCAACGGGGGCACCAGGGCGGGCAAGGACAGGGAGAAACCAAAGAAAGAGCGGGAAAAGGAGAAGGAAAAGGATAAAAAACGAGCAGACTCGGTGGCCAACAAGCTGGGGAGCTTCGGGAAGACTCTGGGCAGCAAACTAAAAAAGAACATGGGGGGCCTGATGCACAGCAAAGCCGTGAAGGGCGGCGTGAGCAACGGGCAGGGAGACACCCTGGAGAAGAAGAAGAAAGGATCCCTGAAGGCACAGAAAGACAGCAAAGAGGAATGTTCCCTGGGAGACCTGGCTCCTGCAGAGAAGCTGTGCACAGGTAAAGCAGCCCCGGAGAAGCCGTCGGATCCCCACAAGTACAGCAGCGACGTGCGGCTGAGCCTGAGCATCCTGCGCGCCGCCATGCAGGGCGAGCGCAAGTTCATCTTCGCCAGCCACCTCAAGACCAGCACCCGGCACCAGTTCCAGGAGGAGATGATCCAGAGGTACCTCCTGGATGCTGAGGAGCGTTTCCTGGCGGAGCAGAGGCAGAAGGAGGCCGAGAAGAAAGCGCTGGGCAGCGCTGCCCCGGCCAAGAGGCCGGAGGGGGAGGTGGGCGCCCAGCGGAGCGAGGAGGCGATGCCAAGCCCCGTGTTCTGCCAGCCACCCCCCACCTACCCCCCTCAGCCCCTGGAGCCGGCCGTGGGTGCTAAAACAGCTGCTTTTCCAGCTGGCTATTCTGGCGTTTTCACCTTCCCCAGGCCCTCCATGGGCAGCGCTGAGGGGCTGCACCCGCCCGCGTGCCCCGAGGGCCGGCGGCAGCTGGCGGGGGGCCCCTGTGGGAGCCTCCCCCCCTACGCCACCCTGCCCCGGCACCACCAGGGCCGGCTCGGGCCCTGCGCCCCCGGCCCTGCCCAGCTGGGCCGGTTCTCCCCCACGGACACGGACACCCAGGCTCCCTTCCCTTCGCAGTGCGAGGGCTCCGGCTGCCTCCCCCCGCACAGCAACGGCTGCCAGGAGCTCCTCGAGCAGGACAAGGGAGGAACAGTGGATAAAATGAGAAGCCAAGCCCTCTACAACATCCAGCAGACCAAGTGCAAACAGCCCAACTGCAGCTTTTACGGACACCCGGAGACGGGGAATTTCTGTTCCTGCTGTTACAAGGAAGAGCTGCGGCGCAGGGAGAGGGAGGCTCTGGTGCACAGGTTTTGATGCTCCCCGTGTGGATCCGGACCCCTGGCACGTGGGGAATGCAATAACGGAGATCCGTTTTGGTTTTACACCCACCCACGCTCCTCTCCCACTCTGCAGGAGGTGGGAGCAGGCGTTGGGCCTGCTGGGGTGGGCTGGGAGTGGCACGGGGCTGGTGGGATCGAGAGAGGGGGGAAAGCAGCCCCTGCTTTCCTGGAGCCCCTGCAGAGGAGCAGAAGGATTCCCAGGGGTGCCTGGGGACAGTGGGGGCTGCTCGGGTTGGAGCACAGGGTGAGGGGGGAGAATTCCTCAAAAACTCAATAAACCAGACCAAAGCTTTGGGAGCGGGCAGGGGGAGCAGCTCCCGCCAGGTCCTTCCCGCTTCCCGACCACCTGGGACGGAGCAAAAATGCCCCATTTTGAGCGTCACAAACCTTTTAATGGAGTTTTTTAACACTGGTTTTATTCTGTATTTCTTCTTGCTGGTACTGAGCGACACCGTGTTGGAGTTGGACATTGATGAGGCGAGGTGGGTTGGACACCCCCCACTCAGTCCTGGATGAGTCCGAGCACCAGGACAGGCTCAGGGCTCTGTCCCCTCCTCTCCTCCCTCTCAGAGCTGAACTCTGGTTTTAAAATGTTGTTTCTAAACTCTTCCTGAGGCGGGGGAGCCAGGGGGACTCCCAGAGCTCAAGGGATTGGAGGTTTCTCTTCCCACACAGAACCCCAGCCCACAGGAGAGCCGAGGCGAGATCCTGGCTCAGCATCTCCTGCCAGGAATTCCCAGTGGCCTGGGGCAAAAACCCCAGGAATTCCCACTGGAAAGGGGTCCCAAAGCACCCCCAGGCCCGGGGTGGAGCCAGGGGGTCACAGCCCCACGTAACTCCTACTTGAGCACAGCTACTCTGTACTACCTCTGATCCTGATTAACTCGGCTCCGTTGTGCTGAGCCACCAACTGACCTTTAGGCTGCGGAATTAATCCATATTTTTGATAACAGGGCTAAAAAGCAGAACAATAAGGTAAAATCCTCCCGTGACTAACGTCCCACGCCGTTCCTGACCCCATCCCGGCCCCCTGGCTCCCAGGGTGGGATTCACTTTAGCACTGCGATGTTTGCACAGAATTCCTTGGGGGTTTTTTGGTAACTGCAGCTCCCAAACCGGGCCTGATCCTGCACGCAGCGAGGTGCAGCATTTCCTATCACACGGAAATAAAACAGGAGTTGTATCCTTCAGCCAGAGCTTTACAACATTCCCTCGTTTCTATTTTTGGGTTGATTTTTTCCAAAAGGCATCAAACTATGCAACCCCTTCCTGCCCATGGCCGTTTCCAGGAGAAGGGACGAGGCAGAGGAGCTGGAAGTGAGCTCGGGGACTCACACTTGGCCCAAAAAATGTTAATTTAGTTAACTTAGACCTAAAACCCCCTGAGTTAAGGCCTTTCCTACACATAAATGCTCCCAAATAAGGCCTTTCCTAGCGGGATCCCAACACTTCGAGTCCAGCCAGCAACGCTCCTTGTCCGCAGATTTCCAAATCCAAATTTCAGAGACACCCCAGGGATGGTTTGATTCCAGTGTAAACTGATTTCCCTGGTTTTATAAAACCCCCGAGCGTGGCTGAAGCTGTGGGAAGGGGAAGGTGCGGCACCCACTCCAGCTGGCTCCTCTTGCCTCAGAACTAATTCCAGGTTTCTCCCTGAACTGCAGGAATTCCGATGGACTTTAACCCTGGGGCAGGGGCATGCAGGGCCGGTTAAGCAGCACAGGCTCTGCCCCTACTTGGTTCACCCTGAAATTTAAGCTGAGATGGTTAAAACCCAACCCAATCCCTTCACTATTTACAGGCACTTGGTTTAAATTCCACTTTCTGATGTTTGTTTTCCCCCAAATCGGAGCAGCAGCTTTATTTTGGCGTTGGGGAATATCCTCTGGCTGTGCCGGGAGCACCGGGAGCAGGGACGGCACGGGAGGGCAGGGGGGAGGTGATGCTTCATCATCCTCGTTTTGGGGCAATTTCTCTCCTCTTTGTTATCTCCACCCCAGTGGATGCTGGACTTGGGTGAGGATGGGAAGCCCCCAGAGCTGCTCGCTGGTGTTGTGGGAGGAGAGAGAAGGAGAAGGTAGAAAACCTGTAGGAAAAGCACCAGTCCTGGAGGGAAAACTCCAAAACTGGAGGAGAAGCACCAAACCTGCCCCCAGGAGGGATTTTTCCATGGGGACAAGGACGGGGAGATCGTGGTGTGACCCCAAGGTCAAACTAAGTGCACTTACTGGTGTGGTTGGAATTCAAATTGCTGCCATCGGATCCTGGTGGAGGAAAACTTTGTCTTTCAGCGTGTGTAAAACCCGTTCATGAGATTTGATTTGATTTTATTAAATGAGATTCACCTTCGCCATTCCCTGGCCCCTCAGCGGAGGAGGCCGGGGCAGCTTTGGGTCTCACTAACGCGACACCGAGTGACCTGAATTAATTCTGCAGTGGTTTATTCATGAAAAACCCTTTTTTTAATAATTATTATTATTATTAATTCCAGATTAATTGGTGATATTTGGCCTCCTGGTGAACAGGGCCAGAGCGTTGCACTTGGGCTGTACCTGTGGCCTCGTTGTGGCACCACAGACTCATTGACAATAAAAACCTTCAGCTGATGCACCTGAGGCTCCTTCATCCCCTCACCCTGAGGGCTCTGGGCATCCCCAATTCCCTCCTGGGGCTGCTCCTCATCCCCTTCTCCATCCAATTATTGGGATTTTGGGGTTACCATTTATTATTTTTTGGGGGGTTATTATTTATTTTGTGATTCCATGTTGGTACTAATTATTTGCTTTCATTTAAGAAAGAACACACTTCCCTCCCTGTTCCTGTCTATCCTTGCTGGTCTTGGAGCCCTTTCCCCAGCTGCATCCCTTTGGCTCCCTCAATCCTGAGTCTCAGGACAAAATTTAAAAAATATAAAAATTCCAGCATGGATTTTATGGATGCTGAGGCTTTAAATTAAAGAAGAAAAGGAGGTTTGGGGGTGGTTGGAGATGGATTGTGGAAGGTGGGACCCCAGGAGCAGTTTCCCATCGGATTGCTGGCTTTGGGATTTTCTCTCCCACCTCCCTGGATGATTTTCCTCCAGGATCTTTCCTCCTGCCACGGCCCAAACTGACCCCGTCCTGGCTTGGAGCAGCTCCCGGCTCAAAGCCTCCAGGAAATTCCTCTCAGCTGCCAGAGCCAAAAGCTTTTCCGAGCCCCCGGGAACCTCTGCTGCTGATCCTGCTGCAGGAGGAAAATTGAGGTGCACGAGCTGCAGCCTCCAAAGCTGGGCCTGCCCCAAAAATTTGGGGGGAAATACTCCAGGAATCCGAGCTGGGACTGGAGTTGTGTTGAGTTTTCCATGTGCCTGGGTTGTGTCAGGATTTATCCCGCAGCGTACTGGCACTGCCGCCTCGGCTGCCCCGGGTTTTGGGGTGCCCGGAGGTGTCGTGGCACTGAGGGTGACACCGGTACCCCAGGGCCACCATCCACGGGCTGTCCCGTGGGGTCGGGGGCTCGCGGGAGCGGGGCCGGCTTGGCCCGGGAGGAGAAGGCTCCGTGCTTCTGCCGTGAGTCACCGAGCAGCTTCTCCTGCCCTGCCCCGGGAGGGGCCCCGGGCCCCCCTCCCGCAGGGTTTGGGGGTTCCCCTGCCCTGGGCAGCGCTTGCGGGACCCCAGAACCGCCCGGTTTGTACCCCCGCCCCAACGCTGAAGTGGGTGCGGGGCCGCCCCCCGCTTCCAGAGCCCCCGGCCCCGGACCCCACCGTCGGTACCGGGCAGTGGGGCGGCGGGGGGCGGAATGCCGCGCTCCGAGGGTCGGGATGAGCGGAATCCCGGGTCCCGAGGGGCGGGATGCCGGGACAGGGATGCCAGGGGAGGGCGGGATGCCGGAGCGGAGGGCGGGATGCCGGAGCCGTGCCGGGCGCTCGGGGCTCTTTCCCGGGCCGCTCCGGCTCCGGGCCCGCCCGGCCAAAGTCCTGCGCCATGAGCGGGGCCCCGGGCGGCCGCCGCCCGACCTTCCCCGGGCTCCCAGGTAGGGCCGGGCCGGGGTTTTTGGGGAGGCTCGGGGCTCTCGGAGCCCCGCACCCAGTGTCGGTCCCCGCAGGAGAACGGGTGCTCGAGGAGGCGGCGGGCGCCCGGCGGCGCTGCGGGAACGGCGGCGGCTCCGTCCCGGGGACGCTGCTCTGCACCAACCGCCGCCTCGCCTTCCTGGCCGGCCAGGTGCGACGGGAACACCGGGAACACCGGGAATAGCGGGAACACCGGGAACAGCGGGAGTGGCACCACGAACGGGACCCCTGCCCCGGCGCGACCCCACCCCAGCGCATCCCGATCCCATCCCGATCCCATCCCGACCCCACCCCGCCGCACCCCCGCCTCCCCTCCCAACCCGTCCCGGCTCTGCGGCACCGCCGTGCTCGCCCTGGGAGCTGCTCGCTGCGGGACATTGCGCGGGACAAGGCGCAGGGGTGCAGATCCATCCCCACCACCCTTCCCGGCACCGGGGGGACACTCTGGGGCAGTTCCCAGCCCTCCCCACTCTCCGCAGGCTCCTGGCTCCCGTGGCCTCCTCCACTCCGAGGACGAGGTGGCCCTGCCCTGCATCCACAAACTGGTGGCAGGTAAATGGGGACACCTGGGGCACGAGGGGCGAGCTGGGCCGGTCTCGGGCTCAGCCTCATCCCCCCGACCCCAGCCAGCAGCTTCTCCAAGCCCAAGGTGCTGACGGCCGCCTCCACCCTCAAGTTCATCCCCGAGGAACTCGCCGTCTTCTGTCGGGATTTCCGCCTGCTCCACTTCTACTTCCCCGAGAGCGGCCGGGCTCCGCAGGCGTTCCGGGTACGCCGGGGAGGTGCAGGGGGGTCGCACCCCCACTTTGGGGTACCCCAGAGGAAGCCTTTGGGGGGCTCACGGCTCGCACCCCACCCCGGCTGCGCTCGCAGGTGGCCAACGCCATCGCACAGGCGCGGGAGGCGGCAGCGCGGCTGGGGGATGCTGCCGAGGCACCCGATGGCTGCGCCAGCCCTGGAGAAACCACCCCAGAGGAGGAGGAGGATGAGGATGAGGAGGAAGGCTCGTCCACCGTGCTGCTCTTCGAGAGCCTGCGGGACTGGGAGAAGGAGCTGCAGCGTCTGGGCGCTGCGGGCTGGAGGGTGAGCGCCGTCAATGAGCGCTTCGACATGGCCCCGAGGTACGGCCCGGGGGTCCCCCGACACTGCCTGAGCCGCTGGAAACGGCACCCGAGATTTGGGGGACCCCAGCCCGCGTCCCACCTTCCCACAGCCTCCCCCAGTACCTCTGGGTGCCCAGCGGCCTTCTGGACCACGACCTCAAGAGAACTTTTGGCCACTTTCAGGAGCGACGGGTGCCTGTGAGTGCCCGGGCAGGGTGGGGGGCACTGGGAGGGGATGTGGGGGTGTCACCCCGATTTCTTTTTGCAGCGCCTGTGCTGGCACCACCCGAGTGGGGGGGACCTGCTGCGAGCCGCCGGCTTTCACCCGGCCTCAGAGCCAGGCAGCGAGGACGTGAGGTGGGTGCCAGGGGCCCTGGGGTGGGGGGCTGAGGGTGCCCCCGGCCTGGCCCCACTTGGGGCTCCCTGTGCCCCCAGCCTGGCCACACTTGGGGGTCCCTGTGCTCCCCAGCCTGGCCCCACTTGGGGGTCCCTGTGCCCCCAGCCTGGCCACACTTGGGGGTCCCTGTGCCCCCCAGCCTGGTCCCACTTGGGAGTCCCTGTGCCCCCGGCCTGGTCCCACTTGGGGGTCCCTGTGCCCCCCAGCCTGGTCCCACTTGGGGGTCCCTGTGCCCCCCAGCCTGGTCCCATTTGGGGGTCCCTGTGCCCCCAGCCTGGCCCCACTTGGGGGTCCCTGTGCCCCCGGCCTGGCCCCACTCGGGGGTCCCTGTGCCCCCAGCCTGGCCCCACTTGGGGTGGGGGTGCCCCCCAGCCTGGCCCCACTTGGGGGTCCCTGTGCCCCCCAGCCTGGCCCCACTTGGGGGTCCCTGTGCCCCCCAGCCTGGCCCCACTTGGGGGTCCCTGTGCCCCCCAGCCTGGCCCCACTTGGGGGTCCCTGTGCCCCCGGCCTGGCCCCACTTGGGGGTCCCTGTGCCCCCCAGGTGCCTGGAGGCGCTGCTGCTGGGGGACCGCGGGCCCTGCGTGTTGGCCGACACGGCCGAGCTGCCCACGCTGGCCGACATCCAGCTCGCCCACCTGAGGCTGCGGGAGCTCTGCCTGCCTGGTGAGTGGCACCGGGCGGACCCCGAGGACCCCCAAACCCCCTTTGGGGGGGCTGGGAGCCCCCCCTTTGAAACCCCACCCCGTGGGATCCAGGCGCGGTGGCAGAGGAGAAGTGGCTCTCGGCCCTGGAGGGGACACGCTGGTTGGACCACGTCCGGTGAGGAGGGGGTCTCTGGGGTGTAGGGTGGTATTTTGGGGAAAATTCACCCTAAATCCCATGGTGGAATGTCCCCCCCGAGCCCACCTAGCACCGTGGGGTGATGGGGGCATTGTGGCAGGTGCATGAGCCACCCAAGGGGGTGACAGTGACATTTTGGGGTGCCCTGAACCCCTGTTTCTGCCCCCAGCTCCTGCCTGAGGAAAGCAGCGGAGGTGGCGTCGCTGCTGGCAGGGAAGCGCTGCTCCGTGGTCCTGCAAGGTGTGGGGCTGGAAAAGGACGGGAGGGGGCTGGAAAGGGGACCCCCATCATCAGCACATTGCCCCCCCAGAGCCCTCGGACCGGGACCTGAACTGCCTGGTGGCCTCCCTGGTGCAGCTCCTGGGGGACCCGCACGCCCGCTCCCTGCCTGGCTTCCAGAGCCTGGTGCAGCGCGAGTGGGTGGCAGCCGGGCACCCCTTCCCACGCCGGCTGGGGCTGCAGTGCCAGGACAGCCCTCGGGAGGAGGTGAGACCCCCACTGCTGTCCCAGCGGGGTGACAGGAGCTGGGACCTGCCTGAGAGGGGTGAGACCCCCCCCCAATCCCGTATCCCCCCCAGGCCCCCGTGTTCCTGCTGTTCCTGGACTGCACCTGGCAGCTCCTGTGGCAATTCCCGGCGGATTTTGGCTTCACTGAGGCTTTTCTCCTGGCGCTCCACGACAGCAGCTTCAGCCCCTACTTCAGCACTTTCCGCTTCAGCTGCCAGCGCCAGCGGGGCCACAGCGGTGCGGTGAGGGGCAGGGGCGCATTTGCACCCCCAAACCTCTCATTTCACCCCTTCTCCTCACCCTGTCTCGGTTTATCCATCCCCATTCCCAAACTGGGCACGAGCACCCCCAGATCTCCCATTTTACCCCTCCTTTCCCCCCCCACCCCGCTCTGTGCCTCAGTTTCCCCATCCCAAAGAGGGGGACTGACTTCCCAACCGCTTCCCCCGCAGCCCCGGCTCCCCAGCCAGATCTACCGGCCCATGGGGGGCTGGCAGGACGCCGGGGGGCACAGGGGAGGCCCCCAGCCCTGCAGCTTCCCCCCGGTGTGGGCATGGGGCCGGCGCTACAGCCGGCAGCAGCGGGAGCAGTTCCGGAACCCCGCGGGACCCCCGGGCCCCACCGAGTCCCGGACCCCCGGCACGGTGAGTGTGGCTGGCCTGGGGGGGCTGCACCCTTCCTTTGCCTCCCTTTTCCCCCCCTGCCACATTTCCTCTATCTTCCACCCCCTTTTATTCCCAAATCCTGTTTTTTCACCCCGCTTTTCCTCTCCCCTGTTTTCCCTTCACCCCTTTTTATTTTCCCTAATTCCCCGCTCCCCTTTGCCAGCCCGCAGACCCCTGCCCGTGGCGGGGTGCCAGCCTGGTGCTGACGCTGGCCAAGGGCTCCCTGTGCGCTCACCCCCTGCCCTGGTGGGGCCGTCCCCCATGGCGGGGGTCCCCCTCAGACAGCCAGGGGACACAGGGGGGGCTCCTGGGGACCTGCCAGCCCACCCCGGGGCTGCTCCTGCCCTGCACCGCCGGGCCCTGCGTCCGCCTCTGGCACCGTTGCTACCTCAGGGGGCTGCCCCAGGAACAGGTACAGGGGAAACTGAGGCACGGGGGAGGGCTGGGGGCTGGGGGTGGTGGTTTGGGGGGGTCCCAGTCTGGCTGGGAGGGAGGATGGAGCCAGTTTGTGTGCAGCTGGTGTCTGTGTGTCCATGGGGGTGGAGGGATGGATGATGGATGATGGATGGATGGATGGATGGATGGATGGATGGATGGATGGATGGATGGATGGATAGATGATAGATGGATGATTGATAGATGGATGATGGATGGATAGATGATAGATGGATGATGGATGGTGGATGATGGACCCCATGTCCATCCATCCTATCCTGCCCATGTTCCCGTCCTGTGCTGGACGTTCTGCCCCGTGTTCCCTGGACACTCTGCCCTGTGTTCCCATCCTCGCGTCCCTGTCCCATGATGATGAACACCGCACCTCTCCACGTCCTGCTCCCCGTGTCCTTGTCCCCACGCCGTGCTGGCCACTCTCTCTGCAGCGCGGGCGCTTGGCCCCATCGCTGGCCGGGCTGGCTGAGGAGCTGCAGCTGCTGCAGGACCGTCTCCACACCTGGAACCTGCAGAGACCCCACTGAGGCCTGAGGGCACCGGAGCCCACCCAGCCCCGCTCGGGGGCTCTCAACAGAGAGCTGCTCCGGCTGCTCCCGCCACCTCCGGTTGCTCGGCGGTGCCGGGAAGGCCGAGCGGCGGCTCCCGAGGTGTCCCCGCCGCTGCACGGGCGCTGCGGGCTCTCGGTTCCCCATTAAATCTGTGCTGCCTCCATGAGGCTCCGGGAGCTCAGCCATGGGGATGGGGATGGGGACGCTGCGGGAGCGCACACCTGGGACCTCCGCGCCGCTGGGATCATGGGGCACTGAGGGCACGTCTGGCCGTGTCGGGAGAGAAAGGCCATGTCGCGACAGAAGGGGCCCTGTCGCGACAGAACGACGGGCAGCGGTCTCTGCCCGCACCCAAGATGGCGGCCGCGCCTTCCCCTCACGACGGCTCTTCCCGCCAACGCCGCGCTCGCGCCGTGACGTCACGCCGTGCGTGCGTGCGTGCGGCGCCGCGCGCGGAGCGGGGCAAGATGGCGGCGGGGCCGATCTCGGAGAGGAACCAGGGTGGGAGCGGCGGGAGCGGCCCGGGGACACCGGGACAGCGCTCTGGAGGCGCCTGAGGGCACCGGGGCCCTGCGGGGTGCTGGCGAGGGCTCTGGGGGGAGCGGGGAGTCCTTGGAAGCGCTGGAGGGGATTTGGGCCGCGGGGGATACGGAGGGAGGAGCGGGCGGAGCTCCGAGGCCACGGTGGGCTGGGGATTTTCCCGAAGGAAAAAGAGGGGCTGTGGGGCTCCTGGGTTAAGGGTGACGAGGGGGGATTGGGGTTTGTGGGGGTTTTGGCCGGAGGGTTTTGAGTGGAGGGTTTTGGCTGGAGTGATTTTGAATGGAGGGTTTTGATGGGGAGGGTTTTGGCTGGAAGGTTTTGAGTGGAGGGTTTTGGCTGGAGTGATTTTGAATGGAGGGTTTTGATGGGAGGGTTTTGAGTGGAGGGTTTTGGCTGGAGTGATTTTGAGTGGAGGGTTTTGGCTGGAAGGTTTTGGGTGGAGGGTTTTGGCTGGAGTGATTTTGAGCAGAGGGTTTTGTGGGGAGGGTTTTGAGTGGAGAGTTTTGATGGGAGGGTTTTGGCCGAAGGGTTTTGATGGGACGGTTTTGAGTGGAGGGTTTTGACCGGAGGGTTTTGAGTGGAGGATTTTGAGTGGAGGGTTTTGAGTGGGGGGTTTTGAGTGATTCTGAGCGCGGGGTGTGGCGGGGTCCCGGCGCTGAGCCCCGTTCCTCGCAGATGCCACGGTGTACGTGGGGGGCCTGGACGAGAAGGTCAGCGAGCCCCTGCTCTGGGAGCTCTTCCTGCAGGCCGGGCCGGTGGTCAACACGCACATGCCCAAGGACCGGGTCACGGGCCAGCACCAGGGTGAGGGACCCCAAAAATGGCAATGAGGGGGTGACATTGGGGTGTGGGAGAGGTGGGGATCATCTTCTGTCCCTCAGGAGGTGTTGGTTTGCATGAAGTAGGGGTTGAATCGAGTATGAGGTGGTATAAAATAAAATCAAGGGGGTTTCAGTCAATAATTAAATGGGGTTTTTAATGAGCTGGAGTTTTAAATCGGGGTGTGGGGGGCAGCTTTGTGCCTTGAAGTCATTTAGGGGTCTTGCCCCACCCCTGAGCTCAATCGGGGTCCCCCAGGCTACGGCTTCGTGGAGTTCCTGAGCGAGGAGGACGCCGACTACGCCATCAAGATCATGAACATGATCAAGCTCTACGGCAAACCCATCCGGGTGAACAAGGCCTCGGCCCACAACAAGAACCTGGACGTGGGCGCCAACATCTTCATCGGCAACCTGGACCCCGAGATCGACGAGAAGCTCCTCTACGACACCTTCAGCGCCTTCGGGGTCATCCTGCAGACCCCCAAGATCATGAGGGACCCCGACACGGGCAACTCCAAGGGTTACGCCTTCATCAACTTCGCCAGCTTCGACGCCTCGGACGCGGCCATCGAGGCCATGAACGGGCAGTACCTGTGCAACCGGCCCATCACCGTGTCCTACGCCTTCAAGAAGGACTCCAAGGGCGAGCGGCACGGCTCGGCGGCCGAGCGGCTGCTGGCGGCCCAGAACCCCCTGTCCCAGGCCGACCGGCCCCACCAGCTCTTCGCCGACGCGCCGCCGCCGCCCTCGGTGCCCGCGCCCGTGGTCACCGCGCTGGGGCCCGGGGTCACCCCGCCAGGTGGGTGCACGGCGTGCTGGGGCGGGGCTCGGGGTGCTGGGGTGCAATTCCCACCCCTTTCCCAGATTTTTAGGGCTTCTTTCCCTCCTGGCCCATTTTCCAGCACCTTTATGGGGCAGGGCTCTTTCCCAAATTTTGGGGTTTTTTCCCTCTTGGCCCACTTTCCAGCACATCTATGGGGCAGGACTCTTTCCCAAATTTTTAGGGCTTCTTTCCCTCCTGGCCCACTTTCCAGCATATCTATGGGGCAGGGCTCTTTCCCAAATTTTGGTTTTTTTTTCCTCTTGACCCACTTTCCAGCACCTTTATGGGGCAGGGCTCTTTCCCAAATTTATATGGGTTTTTTTCCTCCTGGCCCACTTTCTAGCACATCTATGGGGCAGGGCTCTTTCCCAGATTTTTTGGGTTTTTTCCTCCTAGCCCACTTTCCAATGTGCCTCACACCTGTATGGGACACAGCTCTTTCCCAAATTTATATGGGTTTTTTTCCTCCTGACCCACTTTCTAGCACATCTATGGGGCAGGGCTCTTTCCCAGATTTTTTGGGTTTTTTCCTCCTGGCCCACTTTCCAGCACATCTATGGGGCAGGGCTCTTTCCCAAATTTATATGGGTTTTTTTTCCTCTTGGCCCACTTTCCAATGTGCCTCACACCTCTATGGGACACAGCTCTTTCCCAAATGTATATGGTTTTTTTTCCTCTTGGCCCACTTTCCAGCAGCTCTGTGGGGTGGGGCTCTTTCCCAAATTTTCATTCCCCTTTTGTTCCAGGCCTGCCTCCCCCCGGCTCCTTCCCTCCGCCGGTGCCGCCGCCCGGAGCGCTGCCCCCGGGGATGCCCCCGGCCATGCCCCCGCCGCCGATGCCCCCGGGCGCCGGAGCCCCGGGACCGCCCTCGGGAGCCGCCCCCGCCGGGGGACACCCCCCTCACCCGCACCCCTTCCCACCGGGAGGGATGCACCACCCAGGTACGGGGCTGGGAGGGGACCGGGAGAAGCTGGGAGGGGACTGGGAGGGGACAGGGAGGGGACCGGGAGGGGCTGGAAGGGACCGGGAGGGGCTGGGAGGGGACCGGGAGGAGCTGGGAGGGACTGGGAGGGACCGGGAGGAGCTGGGAGGGGACCGGGAGGGGCTGGGAGGGGACAGGGATCAGGATCTCCTCCTCTTTTTATCTCCCCTACACTTCTCCTTTCCTCCCACTTCCTACTGGACCCTTCAACCAATTCAAACATCAGCGAGTTACTGAATTTCTGGCTTAGAACTAATTAGCTGACTGGTCCCTTTAAGTGTGGCATCCAGTAATTTTTTTTTTTTTGATAATTTATCAAAATACTGGAAAATCTGAGTGGGGGTTGTGGTTGCTGAAGGATCTGGGGAGTTCAGGAGGTTGTTGCTGGCTGGGAGGCACCAGTTTTGCCTTGAGTTGGGAGGGTGTGGGATGCAGGGACAGGGGAAGGAAGGAAGGAAGGCAGTGATGCAGAGAGGGAAGGCAGGAGCTGATTTTGGCATTAATTAATGAAACCACTTTTCCCCCTGATTTCCCCACTCTTTTGGCCCTGTGGTCCTGGGAAGGAGCTGTGTCTGCATCTCGGCTCTGTGTTCAAAAGCACAGATTTTGTGAAATGTGCAGTTTAATGATTCTCTGGGATTTGTTTGATCTCGTGGCTCCAGAGCCGCCCTAATTAGGGAGCTTTGTGTGATCCTGCCCTGGCCACGCCAGGAACAGATGCTGCAGGGCCTGAGCAGAGCCAATTACACCTGGCCAGGGAAAACCAGGCTCAGGAAGAAAGAATCATTGGTTTATTTGGTGTTTTTAATGGGATAAAACGGGATAACTGGGAGAAAGGAAGTTTGGGGGGACCCCGGCTGCCCCAGCTGGAGCAGGGCAGCCTCCCACAGTTGTCCAAATTCTCCAGGGATGGGGATTCCTCACTGTGCCACACTTCTCTTTTCCCACCCACTTGCATCCAAACCCTTTCCTTTTGCTTTAAACTCCATGTTCCCTTCTCTTTAACCCCCTTTTCGGCAGCAGAAGCCCCCCCTGCACTCAGGATTTCCAGTCCCAGCTGGAATTTTGAATCCTGAGGTGGGGGGGGTTCCTGCCACCCCTAACTCCATCATTCCCCCAGGAATGCCGCCCATGCAGGTGCACCATGGGCCGCCTGGCATGGGGCAGCACCACCCAGGACCCCCAGGCTCTGGGGGGCAGCCACCCCCCCGGCCCCCCCCGGGAATGCCACACCCCGGACCCCCCCCCATGGGGCTCCCCCCACGGGGGCCACATTTTGGATCTCCCATGGGTGAGTGGGGTCTGTTTTGGGGGGCTCTGCTCTGGGGGAGGAGGAGGAGGAGGGGATGAAGCAAGACCTGGGGGACCTGGCACCCCCCAAAAATCTGTGGCCTTTAGGGGGCTTCCTCAGTGTGACCCTGCAGACGCCCCCCATGGGGAAATCCACAACTTTGGGGTGGTTCTGGGGGTCTTGGGAACAATTCCTGCTTTTGGGGAGTGTTTGCCAAGCTGGGGTGGGACGGGGCACCTGTGGGTGGGGTGGGGTGAGCACCTCCAGGGAAGTTTGGGGGTGGCTTTGGGCTGGTGGGCCGTGTTCCTGCAGCGAGTTTGGGGGGGCTCTGTCCTTTCCCCCTGGCACTGACCCCCCCTGTCCCCCACAGGTCACCCCGGGCCGCTGCCGCACCACGGGCTCCGCGGGCCCCCCCCGCTGATGCCGCCCCACGGCTACAACGGGCCCCCCCGGCCCCCCCCCTACGGCTACCAGAGGGTCCCACTGCCCCCTCGGCCGGCGCAGAGACCCCCGGGAGTGCCCCCCCGCGGGCCCCTGCGGGGACCCCTGCCCTGAGAGGCGGGGGGCTCTCTGCTCCCCATCCTCCCACGGCCCCTGCCATCGACATTCCCATCCCTGCAAAGCTCCAGGGGCCACCCCCTACTCCTCCCTTCCCTCCCCGTTTTCTCCCCTCTGTTTATTTTTATAGTGTTAATTTTCCTCCCTC